CAACAATGGAATGGATCTGTGAAAAATTGAGGCTCTCTGAGCGAAGCTCCTGGCTGAAGTTTGAAGTTTGAACCAGTCTCGGAAACCTCGTCCGAGACTGCCGCGAGTACGAGTATGGCCAGGTGATAGGAGCATGTTGTTTTCTTTCTTTTTTTTTATGTTGTTTTCTTTCGTGCGAGCACCTGTAATTAAGATTTCATCACAATATTCTTGTACTTCTTCTCTAAACCAGTGAGCATCATGTTTGCAATAAGTACCTGCGCATGCTACACGAATTCCCGTGCGCCAGTCCGAGAGACTGGCGCAAGTATGAGTATGGCCAGGTGAGAGTTTTTTTGTTTTTTATTGAAATAGGTTTAGTCAACTTAGGGCGTCACCACACGGCACACGAAACGAAAAACGAAACGAGTGCATCTTCCCACAGACAATGGCCAGGTTCATCGGTTTCCTATAAATAGTAACAAGTATAATATCTCGCCACCTTTCCTGGGCAGATGCACTCGTGTCTTTTTCGTTTTGTGTGCCGATGCCCTTAGTCTCTCAAAATTTTCCCTGCAGTTTCCTCGCTACCTTTCTTTTCTTTGCAAATGCCAAATGCCTTCGTCTTTTTTTTTTGCCACCTCCTCCTTCCGTGACTGAGCCCATTGTCAGAGCGACTACGATGATTACTAGTCGTAAATGGCGACCATTCGGTCGCTTCCTTCGAAAGGATGGCCAGCAGGAGCGTGTGCACCTTCCGGTTCCAGCTGCAGGTGGGTTCATAGGTGCAGGTCAGGCTCCAGCACCTGAGCCCATGAGGTTGGTGCTATGAAGGGGTGTGACATGGAACCGAGCCCGTGAGGTAGTGCTACAAAGGGGTGTCCCACCATCTCCAGAGGTGTGCCATTCCATCTGGAATAAGCGTCTGGATAATCCGGAATGCGGCGTGGCATGCCCGCAAGACCTAAGAAATGCATAGGAAAGAAAGTCAAATTCACACCAAAGAAAGTAACCCGAAAATGAATTTGACCTAAGGTTTCTGGATATTGAAGTCCAGAGATTTTGCCTATCCAATAGTAAAATGATAGAATCCTGCAAATAGAGCGAATACGGCTCCCATAGAAAGTACGTAATGAAAGTGTGCTACTACATAATAAGTGTCATGTAGAGCAATGTCACCATGAGACACAGTCTGGAAGACTGTGTTCTACGGTCGCATGCTTTCTGGGCAGGATGAGGTTGCAGTAGGAGCAGCGAGGGGACCGTAACCCCTGTTCCAGTCCTTCGGGACATCCGTTAAAATTGGAACAATACAGAGAATGAAGCTTAGCATGGCCCCTGCGCAAGGATGACACGCATAAAAAAAAAAAAAAAAAAAACCCTCCTGTTCCAGATTTGTTCTCGCTGTCAGGCACTTGGGGGTCAGGAGGCACCTGTGGATAATTTGCCACTGTTGTGCTCTGTGGTTTGTCGGTCGGATGTGGGTTCGGATGGGGGTGTAGGAGGACCATCTGAAGGGAAGGGAGCAGAAGTCTCCTCAGGATGTCGTCCATGACCAGGGGCTGCGTCCTCA